CCGTAGGCATCTTACCAATAAGCGCTACGATACCTACAGTCCTCATCATTGCGGACCGGTGGGGCGTGTTAGTGCGGCTGCGTTTGGCGCGGTGCCAAAGTCGTTCTGCACGGTGCCAAAGTCGTTCTGCACCAGTGTAAAGCGGGCAAGTGACATTACTGTATTATATCCTTCGTATTACTCGTTTTCTACCACTTTTTGTCGCATACGCGTTTCAACAAAAAGGCTGAGAACGGCTTCAACAGTGTGCACACTCATACTGGCTGACACGCCCCACCGGTCCGCAATGATGAGGACTGTACGGCTGCACGTATGTACTCACACATAGATCCATGCAGCAAGAAGCTGCTCAAAACCAGTCCCTTCGCTTCATGTTTAGCAAATGAAGCGATACGAGCATCAGGTACGGTCGTCCATTTGTAGGCGGGCGGGCGCGGTGGGGTCGGTATGTTGCAGCTTGATAGGGCGCTATAAGGGTACCTTGGATAAGGCGCTATCAAGGTACCGTTTCTCGGGGAGGCGTCATGGCAGCCTCAGGGCGCCGAAATCAGCCCTGCTAGGAGATATCTCCTACTTTGTCATAGGGATTCCGCTGTCAACTGCTTTCAGAGGGGAAAAAGAACACTCACCCCCGTGGATTCCCTGCGTCCCTCGCATGGCGGATGAGCGGCGTCACAGCTGCGAGTGGCGTCCACCTTCTGATTTGGTCCTTTCAAAAAATGCATGGTCGGGCTGGAGGGTAGCGTTTCCTGAGTGCCGCTCGATCTCGCGCGCGCTGCAGCACAGCCAGCCACAACCTGACTATAGGTAAACGCCCTCCTACCTCTGTTGTTCTCGATCGCTCAGTATCTGTTTTCCTGGAGGAGCTTGGCATGGACCTTGAGAACAGAACGGCGAAGTCCTAAATCGCCCTGTCTTTGACCAGCGGCTGCCGGACTTATCGATATTTTCGAGATTTCATCCCTTTGTTCAGTGCTGCGATATTGTTTAATCTCGCGCTAATGGACAATTTTTTATATGACGTGTCTTTGCAACAGTCTTTGACTCATTCTTTCGTTAAACATAACTGCTTGGAACATCCGGTGCACGTCAGCTGTTACTATAAAAAGTTGACCCAACTGTAACCGACAAGAGGAGCTGTCAACTCAAACAAAAAGCTAAATCTTAACGTTTTGCTATCGATCCTTTTGGGATGCATTACGCAATCTAATTTCATGGGAAATAGTGGCTTATTGAACGCGATATGGCCTGTACAATGACTTACGGTGCCAACCGATGAACAAGTCAGTTTTTCCTCACCTGGCCGAAACTCTTATAAAATTTATTACCTCCGAATGAAATGAAAGCACCTTTTGCTCCTGAGGGGAATCGCGTGTCAAGATTTAGACGATTACCTTACCACGCGCATCGCGTACGTTGCGTAAGCGTTCGCTGCCACACACTACTCCGATCACCTTAACGATATCAGTGTCAGTTTCTGGAACTCGGTCACCAATGGGCTTAACAATTCTGGAATCTGTTCTGCTTTTTTATTTCAGCTGTTGCTGTTGCCAACTTGCTTAACCTTATGACAAGGAGTTTCTTGACGGAGGTCGTTTTTGGCAGCACGTCGGGGTGTCGTATTAGAGCCGACGTTTTCAATTTTTGACGGTTGATATTTTTTTCCACTTTAGCCTTCCAGGTGTGAATACTGCTCGACGTGGGATTTATATCTGTAGAGGAGGTAAGGGGTTGCGTTGAAGAAGAAACTCTTCGACACCATGATTGACCCTGCTCGGGACATTGTAAATATACCATTTTCACTTTAAATTCGCCACTTTTCAAACCAAATTCACCACTTTTCAAAGCAAATTCACCACTCTTCTTAGACCAGGCAGTTCGCCAACCAAATCACGCCAGACACCACCGCGAACCCTGCCCCGACGGTCACGCCTACTTGTCAGCGCGGACATAGATTTTCAACACATGACTGACTCCGCCCATTCTTTAAAGTTTGTTGCGAACTTCAAATCTTCATAACTTTTTCAATTTTAATTTCACATCCACTCTTCGCACAACGAAGGTACTCGTAGACGCGCATTCATGCACCGGCAATTTAGGCTCCGCCCCTTTGGCTACGCCCACTTGCTTTTTGCGGAATTTTGATATTTTTTTCAAAATTTTTGCATTTTTGGACTGCTCCGTGAAGCCCCGCCCACTGTGAGAGGCTCCGCCCACTTTGAAGAAGCCCCGCCCACTTTTCAAAAATGGTGCAAATCGGCAGTATAGAGCCATGGCTTGCATGGCAAGGGTATTGCTGGTCATTAGGAACAAACTTTGCCTGATTTATTTGTTCCGAGTGACGGACGAGACCCTAGCATGCAAGCCAAGGCTCTACACTGCTGATTCGCACCATTTTTGAAAAGTGGGCGGAGCCTCTCATAGTGGGCGGGGCTCGAAGAAACAGACTATAGGTGAGAACTATTCGTTTGGAGATGTAGATACCATCTTTGATTGAAATTCAACTCCACTGCTACTACTAATCTCAGTGCAAGTGAATTACATGGCGTATCACAAAAAAGATCCGACAGCTCTGTCCTCTGCAACCCTTTTCTTGCCATCGTGAACATTACCATCGAATGCCCATGGAAGGGTATTGTTACAGTGTTTAGTAGCGTGGGCTGAGTTCAGGTTGCGCTTGGTAAGGGGGAGAACGACAAGAAGCCCTATGGTATATAGCACACTTTCAGCCCCTTTTAGACATGATCAGTTGCAGTCGCTATCACAGGCGCTTTATGAGGCATTCCTGCGTGCGCACGTTTCGACGTGACGCCAGCTTGTTTTTACCAGTCGTTGCCACTATGAGACGAGCAGCCATCGATGGAAACACGCTGGCGCCGGGCCGAAACGTAAATACGTGGGAACCTCTCTACCCGACACTCCGATACGCACCTTACTTAAAGTCATGAAACCAGCAAACGATAGGCAGGGTACAGCATCGTTGTGTGGAACACATTGGTGGTCGTACTTTCCGGCTGGGGAAGGGGGGGGGGGATCGTATATGTGGCTCTGAGAGAACTTTGCCGCGCTGGGAAAAAATTCCTGTTTGTTGACTTTTCGCGTACTTTTCCTGTTTCGTGTGTACTATGTACCCCAATCCCCTACCACCCACCCCCGCCGCTCGACAGTAAATCGCTGGGTGAAAAAATGGAAAATTTGGGGAAATCTGCGGGTAGTTGTTAGGGAAGGGGAGGGGGTCTCGAGAGGCGGGCCGTACTGGGCACCACCATTTCCCACATCACGGTGCTGTACCCTAACGATGGGGCATGTGAAGCGACGTAATTCCTAGGCATCGCAGCGGGAACAACCCTTCCCGCCACTGCTACGGATCCAGTATGGCGCCTCTGATGGAAAGGACCCCTTGGCAGCGCTCCAATAAACACGCCTTATCGCCTTACCACACGCCCTATTGTTTGCAAGGATCCTGACAGTATGCAGAATTTTGAACGTCACATACTGGTATATAGCGTGGCAGAGAATGATGCTATTTGCGTACACTCAGTTGCAATTCAGATATTCCTGGGAAACCCTTCAGATGGCATCTATGTACGAATATGGGCGGTCGGCCAATTGCTTCTTGCGAGAGATCAGCACTAGGCTTAACTGAGTTCACAAAAAACACCCATTTTCAACTTGTTCAAACCCTGGAAACCTTCAGGTTCTCGGAATCTGGCTCCACCCACACCCAACCAAATCATTTCTGGTGCAGTATCAATGTTGTAATAAAAGGATAAGATAGACGGAAATGTAGGTTCGGAACTCGAGGAACACACGTGTTCCCTCGTTGAAGTCATTCTTTGCATTCCCCGCTTTGTTCCAATGATTGGAACTGCCAGCTGCTGTTTGTTGGCTCGGCAGTGGGTCACGTTGCCGCCTAGGAGCTTATCACCACAAACCGTCGATATCAAACATCACATGGGTGTGTTTACCACCCTTCATTGACGTCAGTCCTGCTCCGCACAGAAAATTGCCTCGACAATCGAGCGCTACCACGAGGACACTGACACTGTCGCAGATTCTTAGGTGAACACTGCTAATCTACCTGCCAAGGCTGAGTTCTAGCGTCTCAACACAATATCGAATCTTGCAGTACACCCAGACGCAGAACTCGCTTTGCAGACACTTGTGCAATCATGTTCCGATTTCCGTATTTCGAAATAATCTTTACTCTCCGGCCCGGACTGCAGAACTGTGAGCCAGTTCAGATTCAGAACTGTGGACCAATCTAGTGGTGATCTTTACACATCGTGCAGCGGTTCCATTAGTGGATACATTGTTGTGTACAGTAGTTGGCAACACTTGGGCATGGGATGCTGCTCGTATAAATGCCTGCACTAATCAATCGATTGTTATTGTTTTATATGGTTTTTGAAGTCCACGCGTTGGAAGCATAAGTGCAGCACCTTTATTATAAATTTTAAAAGAGTTCCAAGACTACGAAAAGAACAATAGTCAGGGTTTTCGCATCCATGTGCAGTTTATATCTCGGAAATTGAGTGGGCGTGGCTGCACCCCTTAAATGAACCTGGCGTAGGACTCTTTATCGTAGGATGTTTCTATTTTAGACAACCATCCCACTGTCTTAAGCCGGGCAAAGACATCATTAACAATGTCTCGAAACGTATCACTGAAGCGCAGTCGCCACCGCGTTTAAAGTGAATCACGCAGCCACGCCCTCTCCATCTTCAGAATATGCGATGTACTTTATGCTCAAAGGTGTTGGTGAAGTGCCTAAACCTACAAATATTTACCCGTCATTTATCATTGACTATTATCATTTATCATCCTCCCAACTTTTACTATTATCCAATATCGTCCCCTATCATCACTCCTCTTTGCCTATCCGGCGACCAAACCAAAACAATCGAAGTCTGCCTCTTTTATTTACAAATCTGATCCAAAATAAACCTTTTCAACTGCAGAGTTGCAAATGATAGGGCCTGTCCAGGGGAAAAGATTTCATGTGGCGCCCGTAAGTTTTTTTTTCACATTTTTCCCGGAAAGACAGGGGGCAAGTGGCCTTAACTAGTGAGAAACGACTGATTTGCACAATATGATACAGTTTTGTTGTCAGCTGAGAAGAAACTGACTGGCCCCGCGTCAAATCTATTCCTCCCTGACAGGCCCTATCATCCGCAGCAAACAAGACCGTATAAACCACCAGTGAACCACCTTGCGAAGTGGGGGAGATTGCGTAAAGACACTTGCAGCGCATCACTCTCTCAATAAAATATGAACAGACGTACTAGTAACGGTACTCCGGGACCTAGTTCTTCTGTTGAGATATAGTAATATTAGTAGCTATCGTAGGACATTTGTTGCCCGTTATTTGTTGAAGGACCGGCCAGCGCCGGAGCAATCATGCACGAATTTCATCAAGCGAGACGAAGATGGATCGTTCCCGGTTGTATCTCTCAATTTCAACCTGAAAGATTCTCCGGATATGGACGAGTTTCCAGAGGAGTCCTTCCGTGACACGATCTCCAGCGCCCTTCGAGTGAATCCGGTACGTGATCATCTAAATATTACATAACATCTACACAAGAACATTAGTCGTTTTCAGAGGGAGGGTACGGGAAAAGCGGGATTGGACTGTTAGAGGGACGGGGTGCACTAATGGGTTTTTACTCACGGTTCTACCTAAATCTCTGATCATCGGCCCAATTCTAGCCCGTTTTTGGATCCTCCTACCCGATCTAAAACGATTCTGGAAGCTCAATATCCAAAGATGGCAACCAGTAACCTTTACCCACATCCAGTCTTAGCCCTAGTAAGGGCGGTGCGATAGCTTAGCGTGCATGTGTAGACAGGGGGCGAGGGGTAGGGGTGCAGTCGGCACCCTAATTGAGCCGATCCCTCTCTGTTCGTCTGCGCCCTCTCGATAAGGTAGTGTCCGAAGAACCTGCTGGAGGATGGTCGGAGCAAATAGTGGTGACAAAGGAAAACGGAAGGATCCCTCCCACACATTCACCTCTGCCAATTACCATAGCGCCCTAGTGGCTGTGAAACCTCCTGGAAATTCTGCACAGAGGTATTAAATGCTTCTTCCAGGCTGACATACTCCTACTCAGAGTAAATTGCCAAGGAACTGAGGATACTTTAACAGTACAATTTGGCGTCCTTAAAAAGGTACGTTTGCAAGTCGCTCTGAATCATATGAGCAATTTTTTGTTGAAAATGTTTTACTTTCATAGAAAGTAGAAGAAGAGAAGAAACCGATGAACGTCAAGAAAATCACCAAGAAGGACGATGACGCCGACGAAGATGATGACGATGATGATGAGGAAGAAGATGATAAGGAGGATAAGGACAAGGACGATGACGGAAAGGACGACAATGACGACGATGGTGACGATGACGAGGATGATGATGATGACGACAATGACAAGAAGAGCGACGGCAAAAGAAAGCAGAAGAAGGATGACGATGACGACGATGATGGTGATGATGACGATGAAGATGATGAGGACGAAGATGATGACGACGACGAACCCATCAAGTATGACCAGGATATGTTTGTGGACGCTGAATCAGTGGCGACGAGGATGAAAGCTATGGGTCATCTCAGCCAAATTGCCGATCTTCAAGTGGATACCATTGAATATGTAAGTCTCTCCGAAGTATATTTTTCATAACGGTACTAGTAGTAGTAGTAATAGTAGTAGCGCCATGTAGAAATGCCCTTTCAGGCCTTCTAGACACTAGGATCTGCAGGCGGTTCACGCTTACGAAATCCTATTCCATTTTCATTCGAATCATGCTAATAAGCATTCCATTCTGGGTTTTTGACATCTTTCGAAATGCATTGGAATGGGCTGAATAAAACCTATTACAGAGCGCTGTGCAGAGAGCATTTGGCCGTGAGTCATACGAAATAGCCCATTTCTCAATTGGCCACCCTCTTCGGTCAGAAATCAAATTACCTGAAAGGTTTTTGGGCTGCCCGAGAAGTGAACAGGTTTGGTAGAACCCGAAAGTTCAGCCAGCCTTCCTGACTTTACGGAAGCTAGTTCAAAGATCCACATGGCTCAACCGTCTCCTTACCCGAACTTCAGAAAGCCTTGCTGGTTGGTGGAAGTGTCACCAGGGTACACCATCGTGCTTTGTTAAATGGTGGTGTCAGTACGACCCCTCCCCACCTGAAAGAGAGTCTCTGTACGACCCTCCCTCCTTTCCCAACACTACCTACCCTTTTCCCACATCCAGTTTTTCACCCAAAGATTTTCCGTCGAGCGGGGGAGTGGGGTGAGGGGGCGAGTATATAACCAA